CCCTGGTTGACTCTGATGAGTCAATGACAGGTGGGGCCCAGCCCTGTTAACTAAATAGGTTTAGTTTTAATTAAACTTTAGCTAAACTAATTACCCTGACACCCTGGACCCATAGTTAGGTTTGACCTGGACGTCTCCGTTGACCCTGACGTCATTCTGACGCATGGCTGATGCAATAAATTAATTTCTGGATTTATTCTAATATAGGAAATTCCAGAATATAGTTCAAACTTCAAAAATTCATAACTTTTAATCTGTAACTCCAAATCAAACAAGTTATATATGAAAAATGATCAGAAAAATCCAATCTATCCATCTGTACTGTTTTCATGCATGTTTAAACAAGTTAACTTGCTGTTTAGTGCAAAACATGATAAAGCACTATTTAAGATCACAAATGTGTTTGGAATTTGAATCTTTGGTTCAAATTGGCTCAAACCCATCTGGTCTTAGTTGCATTAGCCCAACACACTCATATTGTCATGTTTCATGCATGCATCATATTGTCGCACATTGTTTGGTGATGGTTGTGTATCGGTGTTCTTTGCGGCAGGTTCTGCCTCCGAGGAGTACCGTGATTACCCTAGCGAAGAACCGTATCCGTGCATCGATCCATCAGGCAAGCAACCAACCAGTTGATCATATCGATACAATCCCATGTTCTCGCTTCTGCTCTCTTTTACTGCATTAAGACAACGCGTTTCAAACTGCTGTGTGCTACGGTAGTTGAACCCATTTCCTCTGCATGACCTGTCATTGCCACAGTAACTAGATGAAACCCACTAGCATGTGTAGGAGTTGATTTAGTCATATGTATGTGTTGTTCCTACCTTGCTATGCCTGCTATGCTTAGAGTCATGTCAGGTCTGGTTCATCTGGGTGATGGGCTAGAGTGAAATGATCATGCCGGTATTGAGAGTGATGTGGTGAACACGATTTGGTAAATGTATCGATGAGAGGCCATGTAGGAGTACATGGTGGGTTGTTTCATTGAAGCCGACCTTAAGCACTGAGATCTGTATGTGTGATTTAAGAATCAGCTACGACCATGCATTGGGCCCGAAACCAATGGACCCTCTCGGCTTCTTATTCACCCTAGTTCTCTGTCCAGGAGTTGCAAATAGTTTCTGGTGTTTGTAGCCTACTGGAGGCCGTGGACAGCGCTGACCGTAGGGGTGGGCTGTGATGCGGTAGGTACGTGGCCGGGAATACCGGGCACCCGTTAGGTGTCACGGAACCCTGTACACATCGTTCGGGGCCGTATGGGAAACCTGGATAGGCGATAAACCTGGATTGGAGACTTAGGTGATTAGGTAGGTCGTGGCCGACACCCACGTTGGGCTTCCGCTTGAAGGTTGCCGAGTACATGTCGTGTAAACGACGGTAAGTGGTGAGAGCGTGTTTGAAGAAGTACACCCCTGCAGGGTTAACCTAATCTATTCGAATAGCCGCGTCCGCGGTGAAGGACTACTTGGTTGCCTATACAGTTCATAGACAAGTAAACTGGAAACTACTAAAAGCTTCAAGATAAGCGTGAGTGCCGAGGATGGCCCTCCGTAGGAAGACGGAGGTGGATTCTCGGTTGTGTATTGAAGTGGTGAGTAGTGGACTCGTGTGCGCAAAACCATTTCAAGTTGGAGTCTCGTAGGATAGTTTAGCCAAGAGTCAAAGCTGGCTTGTTGCAATAACTCCACCAACCCTTCTTGATAATGTGCATGTATGTAGGATCTGACGTAAGTCTTGCTGGTTACCTTTGTACTCATGTTGCTATAATTTACATTTTACAGAAGACGCTGCAACCCCTTCTGATGGGTTCTTCGTAGACGTTGACATCGACGAGTAGACTAAGGCCCAGGTGGTGATCCTGAGCACGTGAAGGACCATGTAGTATAGCTAGGCTTTCCAAGCCTCTTTTATTTTACTAGCTGTCTATACTCAGACAAATTACTTCCGCTGCTGATTTGTATGACTATATGACTTGAATGTGGGTCGTGTGACCCGTACTTGTATGTATGTTATGTATGGCTCTCTGAGCCTTTAAATAAAGTACTTGTGTCGCAGAGTCATGTTGTGATGCCTTGTTGTATTTGCACATATCGAGCATATTGTGTGTATGATTGAAATGCTTGGTATGTGTGGGATCTGACTATCTAGTTGTTTATCTTTAGTAGCCTCTCTTACCGGGAAATGTCTCCTAGTGTTTCCATTGAGCCATGGTAGCTTGCTACTGCTCCGGAACACTTAGGCTGGCCGGCATGTGTCCTTCTTCGTTCCTGTGTCTGTCCCTTCGGGGAAATGTCACGCATTGAGTACCGGAGCCCTATTAGCCCGCTACAGCCCGGTTTACCGGAGTCCTACTAGCCCAGTGCTACAGCCCGGACCCACTTGCTGATGACCGACACGTTCGATGCTGGGTCATGGATGCCTGTCCCTGTAAGTCTGTGCCACTTTGGGTTTACGACTAGTCATGTCAGCCCAGGCTCCTTATCATATGGATGCTAGCAACATCATCATATACGTGAGCCAAAAGGCGCAAACGGTCCCGGGCAAAAGTAAGGCGACACCCGTGGGAATACCGTGCGTGAGGCCGCAAAGTGATATGAGGTGTTACAGGCTAGATCGATGTGACATTGAGTCGGGGTTCTGACATCTAGCATGAATAATAAACATTTATCCTGAATTAAGGAAATAAATAATAACTTTATTATTACCTCTAGGGCATATTTCCTTTAGGGGGTCTATTTCTACATGAATAGATCTTGTCTACATCATGTCATCGTTCTTATTGTATTACTCCGTTTCTCCATTAACTTAATACACTAGATGTATGTTAGATAGCGATCGATGTGTGGAGTAATAGTAATAGATGCATGCAGGAGTCGGTCTACTAATCTTGGACGTGATGCTTATATACATGATCATTGTCTTGGACATCGTCATAATTATGTGCTCTTCTATCAATTGTCCAACAGTAATTTATTTACCCATCGTATGCTACTGTCTCGAGAGAAGCCACTAGTGAAATCTACGGCCCCTGAGTCTATTTCTTATCAGATTGTTTTCAGAACTATTATTCCAAACACCCAAAAATACATTGCTGCACTTATTATTATTTTATTTTGTTGTTTTTGTCAGATCTATTTATCAAATCTCATACAATTTAATATATCTCAATACAGAGGAGGGATTGACAACCCTCTTACGCGTTGGGTTGCAATTATTTGTTCTATGTGTGCAGGTACTGTTTACATAGTGTTGCTTAGTTCTCCTACTGGATTGATAACCTTAGTTATGCTTTCATAACTGAGAGAAATATTTATCGTTGTTGTGCTGCATCATCCTCTCATCTTCGAGAAAATACCAACACAGATACAAGCAATCAACGCCATCACTAACGTTGATGATCACTTCCCCAACGACGACTTCTTCCCCGATGTCAACAGTCTCTTCGACAACATGGGCAACAACACAAACCCCAACGCCAATGCTTTCTCCGTTGCTCAGTATGTGTCCGTGTCTCTTCTGTTCGAGATCATGCTAGAGTTTCTTGTTCAAGCGGTTGCACTACATATGTTCTATTCAAATTCACATCTTCAGATGCTATTTACATATTCTCTGTTAGATTGCATGACTTGTCTTATCATTTTATTGTAGTCATGTGTTATCTACTATTTTTCATTAATTAAATCATATGGTAAATTGCTCATATTTTCAATAGCGACGCCTTCAAGAAGGGGAGGACACCCGTTGTCGTCACTGCTAACATCGGCAAGCCGAGCACGGATTTCACTTCGGCCTTTGACCGAACAAACCCGAATGTCGTTGGATCAGGAATCGGAGATAACCACATCGCTGGACGGAATCTCCGCTGTAGGAAGGAGAGTGTACCGATCACTAGAAAAGAAGGTGACATGGGAGTTGTCGGACGCACCACCAGCTACAACCATCACCACCAATGAAACCTTGCCGCATGCATCCATCCTCCACCAACCGCGACAGTCCAAATTTGAGAAGAGGAGGCCCAGATTCGCCGCCTCCAGTAGCACCACAACCAGCCGAGAGGAGAGAAGCATTGCTGGACCGGGCCACTGGGACGAGCAGTCGATAGGTTCGCCGAAGCAGTTGCAGGTATGGAGGGGCTCGAGTAGGTGGCACACGGGGGAGGGGGGGGGGCGCTGCACCGGCAGGCCGGAGACGACGGCAAGGAAGAGGAGGACGTAGCCGGCGGAGCCGCCACGAGGCTGGAGAAGGCCGCCACGGGATCCGTCGTAGGACACGGCCAGAGGAGACACCGGGACGCCACTACCGCGGATCTGCGATGCAAGGGGACGCGCGCCATCGCGCGAGGCCGACGCCCGCTGGACCAGGGGTCACGCCGCCCCTCGCCGCCAACCGCACGGGCACCACAACGTTGGGTTGGGAGTTGCAAGGACACTCGTTCGAAGGAGGGAGACCCCGCCACCACCCGCACAACACGAGCTTCGCTAGGAGGTGGCTGCTAGCGGCAACAGGAGGAGAAACCAGAGGTGGGGTGCCCGAGGCGGCACGGAGGTGGACGTCGCTCGTGTCGCTTAGGGTTAGGCAATTGATGTTGTTGTTCATGCTATTTAGTGTTTTCAATATGTTCGACATAAGCATGCTAGTGGTTGCTTTTATCATGATTTAGTATATTTTAGGAACAGTGATATCCCTGGCTCATCAGGGCTCAAGTCATGGTGCTCGCATTATTCCTAAATTTATTTCAGGATTTTCGGCGATATAATTTTACTAGGAGGAGAGGAGACGTTCTCGTCGACGACGAGACATCTACGATGACTTTATAAATCACAAGATGATATGCCGGTTCAGTCTCTCGAAGGAGCTTATAAGCGTAGGGCATGGAGTGTATGAATTAATCATGTAAAATAATTTTCTAACATTATGTTCGTCCACCTCACCACTGTAATCGCGTGTGTTGTGTTAGACCTTAGGTCCATGTTCAGCGCAACTCCCTTTCACTTCTAACTGGACATCTCCGACGCGGCGACGCCATTTCTGCTTTGCCCAGCCACCACCGCCTCCTCCTCCTCCTCCTCCTTAAACCGCGCGTACACGTCCCCCGCGTAGAATCCCCGAGTCCTCCACGCCAGCACCAGCGTCACCGCCGCGGCGGCCACAGTCACTGCCGTTATGACCAAGAACGACTCCTTGTAGCACCGGACGCCGATGCAGGTCACGAGCCTCTTCCCGGCCGCCGAGGCCACGGCGTGTCCGCCACCCTGCCGCGCGGCCTCGCGGTCGTACATGCGCCCGGCGACGCGCACGTTGAGGACGTACGACCCCACGGGGCTCGCCGTGCCGCACAGGTTGTAGAGCGTGGAGTAGTACCTGAGGCCGAACAGCTCCGACACGCTCGCCAGGATCAGCGGCTGCGCCGCGCCGAAGCAGAACCCGATGATCACCGACGCCACGTACAGGGAGCCCGGCACGCCGAACGATATGAGGAGGTGCCCCGGAACGGTGAGGAGCAGGACGACGGCGAGGACGAGCGGGCGCGGGAGGCGGTACCGCGCGAGGAGCGCCTCCGACGCGAAGCCGGAGGCGACCCGGCCGAGGTAGTTCCAGATGCTGATGAGGGAGACGAAGGTGGCGATGCTGCGCTGCGGGTAGCCCAGCGACTCGCCGATCTGGCCCATGTTGTCGATGGCCGTGAGTGTGCCGCCTATGCCGAACACCGTCGCCGTGAACAGCAGCAGCATGTCCACGCTCACCAGCGCCTGAAGGATCGTGTAGTCGTCGCCAAGCGGTGGCGGCCTCAGAGCACGCACCACCCTCGACATCAGTGTGGCCGCTGGCCTCTCCGCAACGGACGCTGGCTCTTGTACCGGCGTCCGCGGTTTGGTGGGCACGGGCACCACGGACTGCGCTTCCAGCGTGTTCTTGAACAGTGCGGCCTCCTCGCGCAGGACCACGGTGAATGGGACGAGGAGCATTGCGAGTACGACGGCGGCGCTGACGCCAAACTCTGCTCGGGTGAACAAGAACCTCTTCTGCAAGATGATGAGGACCATGAGGTAAGCGGCGAGCGCGAGCGACACGTATAGAAAGCCGCAGAACGCGCGGTACTCGCGGCGCGCCGCGGCTGGGGAGCGCGGCGAGCTAATGATCCGTATCGTGCCGAGGAACACCACGGAGACGGCGGCGGGGAGCCAGCCCACGAGAAGTATGAGTGGCCTGGTGTCGCCTCCGCCACCGCCGTAGAAGGCGAGGTAGAGCTGGGTGAAGATGGCGCCGCTGAGGCCGACGAAGCCCTTGAGCAAACCGAGTATGACGCCGCGGCTCTCGGGGAAGTTCTTGACGCAGGTGACCAGCGCGCCGGTGTTGGCGAAGGCCTGCGAGTTGGCGCCGACGGCGATGTAGAGGCAGACGAGCCAGAGCGGCGGCCTGGCGCGGACGACGCCGGCGACGGAGAGGTAGAGCATGAGGTATCCCCCCAGGTTCATTGCAGCGCCGATGGCGAGGACGAGCCATGGCGGGGCGACCTCGGCGATGAGGCCGGCGTGGATGCCGACGTTGGCGCCGACGTCCTTGAAGAAGCCGACGGTGTTGAGCTGCTCCTGTGTGTAGCCGAGCGTGGCCTTGATGTCCTTGGAGTAGACGGCGAAGATGTACGTCGCCCCCGCCGCGGACATGATGAGGAAGGAGCCGTACGCCATGAACCACCTCCCGCGCAGCACGTGCACGGCGAAGGCCCTGGCCGCGGCCGCCATGGCGAGATGCTCTGCTTCTTTCCGTGGT